GGAATTGTTTAAATTATCACAGTCCCTGAATAAAAGCCCTGACACCGGTGGGCTTCAATTGATCATTATGAAATTCTGTATAAACTCTTCTAATTTTGTATAAAAATGAAATTCTATGGGTATCTGACGTTTGGGGACTTTTAAGTGACGCGAAAGTGATCTATCGTTGATGGATCATTTCTCTGTACCGAGTGCGCGTAATCGTTTAAATTATCACAGTCCCTGATAAAGGCCCTGACACCGGTGGACTTTAATTGATCTTTAAGAAATTCTGTATAAACTCTTCTAATTTTCTATAAAAATGAATTTCTATGGGCATCGCGACCTTCCGATCCTCCGATCGACGTCAGATCCAGGTAAATCTACAAGTCAGAAATCCTCGTAAAGATCTCCCGAGGAATTTCAAAATCGAGGGAGACCGAGATACGCGGGATGGCTCTTGGAATGCACCGCGCACCAAGTTGGGTAATGTACTCGAATTACTCGAAGGAGGGCACGAGAAAGCGCGGGGAGAGGAGGAACGAATGCGTAAAAATAGCAATGAAAGCGAATCGAAGAGAGTTCAAGAGCGAAGGCCTCTTACGGAGCGAGGGAGGGAACGAAAAGGAGAGAGAGACAATAGGTCGAATGTAAATGAGAGAACGTGAGTCTCATTCCCGATCGGCTGGCCTTCGTATGAGACTTCGATTCTCTACGAATTGTCTTGATTTCGTGGGAATTTTATTTTCGATCCTTGTTATTTCATTTCTTTCGTGCCGACCCAAGGCTGCCTAGTTAAGGCGTTTTTTCTTTTATAAATCAAATAAGAGAACGAACGGGGAATTCCTCTTCCCGACGAAGTTGTCTCTACTCCTGCCAGCCGAAGTCGCAATTATTTCACCGAATTTCCGAACGAGAATCTTTCCTTTCTCTGAATATATATGTAAATTTCCAAATAAATATCCTTTCTTATTCACGGCTCATGTGGTAACATTTAACAATATTTTTTCCCGCTCTACATACGGGAGCCTACCGATTAAAAAATTCCGGGATTAAACAACTAATTCTAGACTTCTCGATAAAAATTTCCATTACATGTAATGATGCCAGTAACCATGAGATTAAATAAAAAAAAATCTAAAAAGACAATCTATCCCATATACTTGGCGTCGCGCACATTTAAATAACATTAAACGTGAGCTTTTCGAACAAAAAGAAAGACTCGTCCCCCTGTCACGGTTATCAATTACAGCATAAGATAAAAATTCGCATTACATGTAATGATGCCCGTAACCATGAGACTAAATAAAAAAAATCTAAAAAGACACTATATCCCATATACTTGGCATCGCGCACATTTAAATAACATTAAACGTGAGCTTTTCCAACAAAAAGGAAGACTCGTCCCCGTGTCACGGTTATCAATTACAACATCCAGTGCGGGACGAATCGAAAAGAAAAAAGAAAAGGAAAATACTCGTCCAATCAGCAACTTTATAAAACTCTGTATTAATCCAGCGCTAATGAACCCCAGCTCCAGATAAGCCTCTCGTCGTAAAGAAACTCCCGGCCCCCCCGCGAACATAAAAAAAAAAGAAAAAAAGCCAGGAAAACCCGGGGGCGCCGCGAAGTCGGCCTTCCGAAATTTCGCGACTTTTGTCGCGACAATCGCCGGAGGAGGCGAGTTTTGTCGCGACACTTCGACTCGATCGACCGGTTCGCGTGTGTTTTCTGCGTCGAGGCTCGAGCCGGGCCGGTGCAATTATTAAATTTTCGATTACTTTAGGTAAGACGGGTTCGGGCCGCCCCCTCGGGATGCTTCATCCCCCCCTAGGGGGAAGAGGAGGCCGATCTCGAAATCGACGCTCATTTTTCCCGCCGACCGGCAATTATAAACCTCCGAGAGAGTCTGCTCTCGCTTTTGGGGCCTCTCTCCCCGTGATCGCTTTTTATCTCTCCTCGGATCTACAGGGATACGTAGGCGCGTGTACGCGGGTCTTACGCGCGGCGGGCAGCTCGCGCGTATGTACGCATTACGCGCGCCACTTATCGCGCGCGTCCGCACCGAGGGGAGTACGGGCCCGACATGTCCGCATCGAGAGAAACTGGACCACGGGTAGCAGGATCATCTTCACTTGTCGAACGAACCATTAATTCCCCTACCGAGCTGGATTCGGTATAAACTCGATGCTTTTAATTGGCCCAATTAAGGTGAAGTGAAACCCCACGTCAAATAGAATAATTTCTAAATATTTCTTTGTAATCTTTGCTAAATATCTCGAGCGATGGATTTTTTTTAAGATTTCTTGTAGATTTAATTCCAAGATATTTGAAATATTTCTCGAGTACGCATTACACGCGACATTTACAGTGCGCGTAATGCCCGCTCGTGTCCGCACAGAGGGGAGTACGGGCCCGACATGTCCGCATCGAGAGAAACTGGACCACGGGTAGCAGGATCATCTTCACTTGCCGAACGAACCATTAATTCCCCTACCGAGCTGGATTCGGTATAAACTCGATGCTTCTAATTAGCCCAATTAAGGCGAAGTGAAACCCCCCGTCAAATCTGTCAATGCGAATACTACACCTTTTTCTTTTTTAAGGGTACCCTAGTTGCATAGAATAATTTCTAAATATTTCTTTGTAATCTTTGGTAAATATCTCGAGCATCGAGAGAAACTGGACCACGGGTACCAGGATCATCTTCACTTGCCGAAAGAACCATTAATTCCCCTACCGAGCTGGATTCGGTATAAACTCGATGCTTCTAATTAGCCCAATTAAGGTGAAGTGAAACCCCCCGTCAAATTAGTCAATTCGAATACAACACCTTTTGACGACGTTGACAATTGAAATGGAGTAAGAGTAACACAAATGGAAAGTAATCACGCCCAAGTCGACCAGTACCGAGCGCATTTCGCGAAAGGATAAGAGACAATTAAGAATAATTAATGGCATCAATTCCCTTCGATTTAGATGCTTCGACTGTAACCCCATGCGTAGATAACTTTACAATTAAACGAAGTAATTAGGGAAAGGTCGGGAAGGAGGTCTTGAGAAATTTCAGTGACGATCTCGGGAGCATGTCGGTTGTTACTTCGTGCCGTATGGGGCTTATCGCGTACGTGAATATTTATCAGCAGGTGTGGGGGCGCGACGAGATGTATAAATGGAATAAAAAATGAGAGATAAAGAAAACGGGAGCAGGTTCCGTGAGGCTGTACGGGGGAAACTGGACCACGTGTAGCCGGATCATCTTCCGTTGCGAAACCAACTGAAGAACCGGCTCTCGGTGAGTTTCGGCCACGGGAATTGGTAAAAAGAAACGGAGCAGTCGGCCCATGTACACGTGTACTTTAAAACCTGGCAATATGTACCGCGTCCTTGTCGCTCCCCTATTTACCTCGCTAGCACCTCCAGGAACGAATCAATTATTTCGGTAATTAAGGACACGGCGTCACGCGAAGGAGGGATACTCTCCGGCACCTTTTGCGTCACCGATGGTCGGAATCCTCGGAATCCGGGGCAAAGTCGACCCCGAGGATATGATTAATAGTATTTGTTAAGCACGGCACATTCATTATGAATTTTAATGCAACTCTTAAAGTCCAATGTATATCAACGAGCCCGATGGAACGCTTTCGTTGTGCCTCGTGAATAATAAGCCGGACCTATTACCAGATCGGGTAATGTAATGCGATTTTAAATTAATCAACCACGCTGATCGACTCACCTGGTTGGATAATTTTTCAATCATTATCACGGACACTCTACGGAATGTGGAAATAAAAATATACGCTTCACGAGCCCTACTATCATCTGCAAAATGGAGGAAGGATCTCAGGATGACTCCGAAATTGCAAAGTATGGGTGGTCGGCAATTTGATATTTGTACAAATCTATCTAAAGATATATCTAGAATCAATCCGTGGATTATTATGTCCGAATAAAGTTTATCTCCCACTATTAACATTGTTCTGCAATTTGTTCCCACCTAGTCCTTATTATGTACTATCTTCTGCAAAATGGAGGAAGGATCTCAGGATGACTCCGAAATGCAAAGTACGGATGGTCGGCACTTTGACGTTTGTACAAATCTACCTAAAGCTACACTTTGAATTAATCCGTGGACTATTCCCTCCGAATAAAATTGATCTACCACTTTTAACATTGTTCTGCAATCAGTCTCCACCTAATCCTTACTATGTACCATCTTCTACAAAATGAAGACAGGATCTCAGGACGACTCCGAAATGCAAAGTAGAAGTGGTCGGCGATTATCCTCGTACCTCCACCTACCCCTCAAGGAACTTCCCTAGTTAATTTTCTCCTGGACTTTGTCTCCACCTGGAAGTCCCTATCTATCCCCTACAAAATGAAATAACGATCCCAGGACGAATCCCAAATGCAAGGTACAGGTGATAGTCGATTACCCTCCTGCCCTAATCGACACCTGAATGAACATCCCTTTTAATTTTCTCCTGGAGTCTCCACCTAGTCCTTACCATCTACTACCCTCTACAAAATGAAATATCGATCTCAGGACGAATCCCAAATGCAAGGTACCGGTGATGGTCGATAACCCTCGCCCCTTTATCGACACCTTCGGAAGCGGGATATCACTCCGCGTCGCCCACTCTGGATCGGCGTCGCGGCGGTCCGATCTCGTGTTTGCCGAGCCATTAGAAGCTTCGTTACCGTGTCATTGCCGCGATATCTCCGACCGGGTGTACCGGGCGGCGGGGCCCGGCGCACAATTATGCATCCCAGAAGACAGAACATTAATTTATGGTTGAAATAAGGACCCGTGCGAGCGCGTGTCGGCGCGTCCGTTGGCGCGGACGAGCGTGGGCGCCGTGAGTGCCTCGCTTAAAACATTTCTCTGGTTCACCTCGTGCGTCCACCTCGACGCGGGGCATGTTCGTTATTTGTACCCACGTAAGAGGATTCACCTCGTGCCGCGATGCAGGCGATTAATAACCGAGGTGTTTCGAATAAATTAAAGCATTTATCCCTAGGGACCGGGGCAGCGCCGGGGTCAGCCCCCAGGACGGATTCCGAGAGGCGGGGACACGAGGCGACGCCGACGTCGGCGTCGACGGGGTGCTATTTCCCTATGGGGCTACGGCAAACCATCCTGAGAGGGTGAGTTTCGATTTTATTCTCATAATTAGGGGAAGTAAGACGAGCACTGTTTGGGTACATTTGCAGGATCGTAGAGGTTGGGCGCAATTTATGATAACAGTGATAAGGAGTATGAAGCCCGAGGTTTTTTCTTATTTAATCATGTTTTGCATTATTTTCTGACTCTACTTTTGGGTGGGAAAAAGATCGGATGAGGGGACGTAAGACGAGCACTGTTTGCGTATGTGCATTTGCAGGATCGTCGAGGTTGGGCGCAATTTGATAACAGTGATAAGGAGTATGAAGCCCGAGGTTTTTTCTTATTTAATCATGTTTTGCATAATTTTCTGACGCTACTTTCGGATGGAAAAAGATCGGCATAGGTGAATCTTCGACCGGAGTAAATTTAAGATGGGGTGGTTTAATATTCATCTTTATGTCTTTATAGAATTTTATTTTTTGTTTTTTTTCTTAGGTTTACTTTTCATAACTCATCGAAGTAGTGTTGGGAGGACATCTCGTGAAATTCGAAATTCCGCCAAGATCAAGGATTTCCATTTTGGGAACTTCTCCGAAAGCGAAAAGCTTCTGGCGCGATCTTGAAGAATCGGCTAAAGAGGAAGATAAGAGGGAGTGGATTAAAAAAAAAAATACATCGAACGGCTCTTTATTTACCTTTCGGTGATAGAGATAAATAGAGTGCCACAACAGGAATACCACGTCGTTTCGCGTGGTGAAAACGAGCCGAATGGAGCAGATCGTTGCTGCTTGATGACGGCAGACCCGTCGAACGGCTATGTAGATGAGTACTAAACGAAGTACTGAACTTTGGTACTAAAGATGTACTAAAAGTGGGTGCTTCTTGGTTTAGTCGCGACGACTCGGAGAAGGAACGGCAATCGGTAATTAATAACGTGTGTTTATAATTGTAATAAAATCCCCAAGGCATATAGGGACGACTGGCATTACCGCACTTGGGCAAGTTTTTCGTTGAAATATTTACACGCAAATCAAGCAAACTACTACGATATTTACATCCCCATTTAATTTAAATAACGTTAATGAAAAATATTTAGCCATTATCATCCCCCTTCCCTATCCACCTCATTTAATGAACGCACTCTTCCAGAGTTTCTATTTTAAAATTCAATACTTTTATTATCAATATGAATGCAGGGATCTTTAAAAATTCCAGGTGATTTATTATTGTCGTTTAAATAGCAAAATTATAAGGAACATATTTAGGCCCAAATGCGAAGGAAAAAAAAAAGAGCAAAACTGGGTTCCAATTTCGCAACTAAGAGCACTTGTACTGTGGGAGAGCCGTCCATTGGTATTCGGAGCGCCTCGACTCGCGGAACCTTCAAATGCAAATTTCTCGAGCCGCTAATTAGATCTTCGGCATTACTTCGGATTAACCTTTCCTCGTGTAGGTCTAGCCTTTACATACCAGAATTTCTTAGCATCTCGGCAAACTATGCCCCTCCATACCTCGGGCTAGAGCGTGCATCTCGAAAGCGCCTTAAAACCCGAGTACTCACTCCTGGCCTCGGTACTCTCGGGTACTGTATCTCGTAAATCGTACCATCCGGATTTAATCGCGAAAACGGTGGACTAAGAGATTGCACTCATTACCCTGCGTTAAAGTGATAGACGTTACCGGTCTTCTCTCTCTCTCTCTCCTTTCCTACTTACACGCCACAAATCACCGAGAACCTTAAGATCCCATTTACTCCTTCCCCAATTTGATTTCGATCAATTTCGCACTATTTACAGAATGTACTTTCTTCCCAGGTATTTTACGCATGATCGATTGTCGATGTTAACGCATTCGCGACCGCTGACGTGAATTCACGTCATTTCAAGTTCTATTTCCTGTTTGCCGCTGACGTGAATCACGTCCATGACGATTACACGATACAAGTTAGCGGCAACCAGTTCGAGAATTTCATTATTTTCGACGGTACTCAGAGTATTTGAAACGGAAAAAGTTTGCCGGTCGCGAATGTGTTAAACACTATTTCTACCACGATTTTCTATATACCTATTTCGACCAAAAGGTTTCGATGAGCTGGAGGAAAATGATACCGCCAAATAAATTTAACAATTATTATACGAAAACTCAAAGCATTAATTGAGAAAAAATTATTAAACTTTGAAAATAATTTCAAGTTAAAATTTTAGAAGGGGCCTCTTGACACCTTTGGTAGAAATAGTGTTAACACCGGTTAGAAACAATGAAATTGTTCCTAGAGTAAAGAAATATATCTAAAGAGGTCCCAGAGGAGGAAAAGTTCCCGGGCGTAATAACAAGGATTGCGGCAAAGGATCCTAGGGTGATTAACGAATTATGTATATACCATGCATAAGGCATATTTACATACATAAATATACATCCTGTAACATGCAGAGCTGACATCTGAACCGCCTATCTCGCTCGGATCCGACGCAGCATCCCGCGATCCTGTTCCCACTCTTGAAGGTTAGGGACGGATCCGATCAATATTCCGCGATGGTAATTAGAAGGTCTCGTTACCGTTCCTCTCTCTCTTCGGTAGACGTCACTTTCCCGCGAGTCGTGATAACGGTACGTTATCACGACTCGCGGGAAAGAGAACACTCAAGAAATGGATCTCAGGGTCCGTAATCATATGCAAATCGATGGAACTCACCGAAAGACAATCACATCAACCCCGACCGTCTCTTATCACCGAATCCCATTATCACAGTATTCGCCCCCTGCGGACTCGATTTACGCGTAACTAAAAATCCGCCAGTACAAAAGGGAAATAAAAAACATTGGTAATAAAAGCTACCCTAGTAGCACAAAATATTTCTCCTATATTTTCTATATATTTAACGAGTATCGTACATTTTGTAAATATCTACCAATTTGAAATATTTGCAAAACGTTTACTTTAGAATATTATCTCTATAATGTTTATATAATATTACCTCCGTGTGTTTTCATAATATTTCTCTACCGGATGTACAAAACGTTTCGTTTCACTTTAATACGAGTATTTTTTAAATATTATCCGCCGAATACATTATGAACGTATTAAAAATATTTAAAATCAAAGTCACACGTTTTCCTCTCATAATGAAAAAGCGAAACGAAAATATTAGAAAAATCTCTCGTGTCTTTTGATACCAAGCGAAGTGTCCAATAATAGTCGCGAAGTAAAAAATGTAATTTTATTATGTTAATAAGTTAAAAAATATTTCTCTATGTGTATACAAATTCTTGAAACTAAATGTGTCATTGAGATTTTCAAGAAATATTTCAAATATCTTCGAAATGAAATCCACAAGAAATCTTAAAAAATTCGTCGCTCGAGATATTCAGCAAAGATTACAAAGAAATATTTATAAATTATTCCACGCTACTAGGGTAGTACATATAAGCTTGAGAAATGAATCATCAGGGCGTTAATTCCGGTTTAATTAACCACGTTAAAGGGAGCACTTGTCGGGTGATATCAAAGGCAAACTCAAAGTTGGAAATCGTTTTCGCGGATTTCCGAGTGAACAGCTGATCCAGGGGATGATCCTAACCTCGAAGTCGCGGGTTCATCCCCGGCTTAACCTTGAGGATGATTAGAAAGCAAAAGGTCCCGGAGATGGGATCTTCGTTCGTTTGCCCGCCGGATCACGACTCGTCCTCGCTCCTGCAACCTGTGCAACCTGTGCAACCTGCGCGATCCTTTCGGCGATACAGGTGCAGCCCGAGAGCCGGCGCTCGGTGAATCGGCTGCCGATTCCGGAGGGATCCAACGGCAGAATCATTCGGGATAATTGACGGGGGACGCGCCGGACGAATTAAGCTCTCGAGATCTACCGAGCGACCCATTCTCCTGCCAAGATCCCGTCCCGGGCTTATCGGCCCCGATCGGCCCTTCCTTTCTTAACAGCGAGAGCTTTTCACTCCCCGTGGACGGCCCTGATTGGGAGTCGAGTGATATGCCGAGAGGTGAGACGGATCGCCGATCGAACTCGATCGCTCCGGTTCGATCTTAGATTTATACGGAATTTTAGTTTCTGCACTTTATTAGCAATTTAATTGCAGATATGATGGTCTTGATTGGGGGTCGAGTGATATGCCGAGAGGTAAGACGGATCGCCGATCGAACTCGATCGCTCCGGTTCGATCTTAGCTTTATACAGAATTTTCCTTCGTTTTATCGGAATTTTTATTTCTGCATTTTATTAGCAATTTAATTGCAAATATGATGGCCCTAATTGAGAATCGAGTGATAGGCCGAGAGGTGAGATCGAACTCGATCGCTCCAGTTCGATCTTAGCTTTATACAGAATTTTCTTTCATTTCATCGTGTTTTTTATTTCTGCATTTTATTAGCAATTTAATTGCAAAGTGATGGCCTAGATTGGGGTCGAGTGATAGGCCAAAAGGTGAAATCATACTCGGGCGCTCCAGTTCGATCTTAGCTTTATACAGAATGTTTTTTCGTTTCATCGTGATTTTAATTTCTGCATTTTATTAGCAATTTAATTGCAAATACGATGACTGATTAGGGGTCGAGTGACACGCCGAGAGGTGAGACGGATCGTCGATCGAACACGATCGCTTCGATTTAATGATATTTTCATAACAGAACTCTTAATAATTTTATCATGATTTTTGTATCTTTACCTTATCATTATATTCATTTCTGCATTTTATGAAAAATTTAATTTCAAATACAGTGCATGAGTGTGATGAACGAATGAATTTTATGAGTGATAAGATGATTTATGGCGAATCCATGATAAATATAAATTAAAATACCTAGCAAATGAATACGATAGGAACATAATGAACGCCGGTAAATGACGAAGATGATGAACGAATAAATGTGTTGAAAAAGAACGGGCGAGCATTGAAATATTATGAACGATGCTCTGGGATGAATTTAAAACACGGCGAAACTAGGGCAAATAAATGATGACATGTATTGACACTTGCGGTAACTCGTTAAATGCACTTCGGTGCTAATTAATTCTTTCGATAATTCCGGGGGGAAGGGGGGACTGAACGTATTTGCACAAATCTTGTATTACACGGAGCGACGCCGATTAAATGTGTCGGATCACGTTACTCTTGTAATCTGCATTTGCTTAATCTTCAATGACTGTTGCGCGTTCTGGGATCACGATCGGTCGGTATCACCGGAGCAATCTGATACTTAAAAGTCACACTACTAAAGGTCGGATTCCACTAGCGGGTAACGCTAACTCTAAACCGCTTATTGGCATAATCCAATATTGATTCCTTTTGAACTATTTCAGCGTATATATCGCAGCCGAAGCAACGTCGAACGCATTGCACCACGTAATCCCGCCCAGAAGGCGAACAAATTGTTAATAGACAATAACAACTCTCTGGACATCGAATGATCGGCCTATAAATCCCCTAAGATCCCACAAAAAGATTTCTTGGAGATACGGCATCGCCTGTGCAGGTTGGGAGGGCATCGATGTCTCCCAGTGTATAACCCTGCCGTATCATTTCTTGACAAAAGCGGTTAGGTAACGCAATTACGGCCCATAAATCCCCTAAGATCCCACAAAAAGATTTCTAGGATCAAACGCCAATGATTTGGCAGGTAGGTAACGCGTAATTATGAAAACACGTGTCTTTCATTCGGCATTTTGGAGCTAAGGGAGTATCTCTTTGATTTTCTCTAAAATTCCATTTTTTTTTAAACCACTCCGAGAAATAATTTCGTCGAGAGTAAGATATGTTCTTCTGTCCTGGGGAGTATGTACACGTTTATCTAGGCATGTACGGTGGCGGACATGAATGCCTCCCCTGCAGATACGGCATCGCCTGTGCAGGATGGGAGGGCATTGATGTCTCCCAGTGTACATTGGCGGGCATGAATGCCTCCCCTGCAGATACGGCATCGCCTGTGCAGGTTGGGAGGGCATCGATGTCTCCCAATGTATAACCCTGCCGTATCATTTCTTGACAAAAGCGGTTAGGTAACGCAATTAAACATCTTCGAGCTAGCGAGGCCACGTGGGACGTGTATAATTCACCGTCTAGGAGAGAGACTTCCGCGGTAGCGAGGATCTAAGGAGGGATCTCGGGCAGTATCGATCTCGACCAAGGGATCCAGGAGAGCCGAGCGAAGAAATCCACCTGTCGACACCGAGTCCCCTTATCCCGGCCTCGAATCGACACGTTCGATTCAATGAAGCCCGCTCCGTAACTGACGTAATCCCGAGCCCGTCGCGCCTCGTGACTGCCGGGCTCATGACTAAAAAAACGCCTCCCACCCGCGGTTACGATCACCACCCCCCGGAACCTCCCCATGGGGCATCGACACCTGTAATTAATTGCGACTGGACGATCCCTGAGCATAATGGGAGGCTCGCAATCAGGTTACCCTCTTCACCTACAATGTCGCGTGAGAGACGTGGTATATCAATCGAGACAAACGTGAACAAAACGTGATATGTCAATCAGGCCAAATGTAAACGATACGTATGAGAGACGTGAAATGGCCCGATGTATGACCGACATTTTTCTAGTTTATGGCACGAGCTATGGGAATTTAAAGATTTCCCCCTGCAGATACGGCATCGCCTGTGCAGGATGGGAGGGCATTGATGTCTCCCAGGGTACATATCAATTAGATACCGTGGTATAGACATTAAAAAGTCAATCTCAACGGCTGTAAAATCCCTACAAACACCGTAATTTCGTAATCCCTAGTTCGTAATATCTAATAAATCCTTATTGAGAAGGAGGTGAAGGTAGATTTCTGATATTCTCATCCGAAGGGTTAATTGAAACTATTCTCTCAACGTTGCAGATATCACTCTATAAAATCAGACAAGGTGTA